TTTTTTAAGAAAAAACTTTATATTTTATTTATATTTTCAGTAATTAATCTCGGTATGGGTTCGGTAGATTTGACCAATCTTGCAACCACCATAGAAAATTAGGAAATAAATATAAATTATGTCTCTTTCAATCTAGAATGACAACAAATTATATCACGAAAACATAAATGTTTAGACTAAATAGCTTATATCTCACAACACTATACATTTATAAGTATTTATTCTTTTTATTATATTGACTTGTCAGCCATGCCTGGCTAACAATTGAAAAGTTACAATGATGCGGCTCACGTGCACTCATGTTACCGTATCCAATAACATAATACTGACCTCTGGTCTGTGCAAAGAAACTTGTCTTGGCTGTGTTTTAGTAGACTAGCATTTTGTAAAATACAGACACATTTCAATTATTATACATTATATATATAGAGTATTGCTATTTTGAAATAAGTTTTTAAACTTATTTTTCTTAAAACATAGAACTGTAAATAAAGAAGCAAAGCAAACAATTATCTCTGCTAGTTACGACCTTTGTACTTGGTTGCTGCTTATCGTAGGTTGCTAAGCCTTTAAAGAAATTGCACGTATAGGATATAAAACAATATATTTTTATAAAGTTTTATATATACAATTGAATAACTAAAAAATCATAAATTACTACATCAATACCATAGAATTCAACTATAATTTATCAAGCTTAGTAACTAAGATGTATTTTAGTCTAAAAAAATATGAAATTTCGAGCAGACTAAAGACACATCCTACCTCTTTGAAATATTGGTTCAACATACGAGAAGTGTAAGCACAATTCACCGAGATCCCATAAACAGAGCTAATTTTAACACTAATACTCACCAAAATACGAGAAGTGTAAGCACAATTCACCGAGATCCCATAAACAGAGCTAATTTTAACACTAATACTCACCAAAATACGAGAAGTGTATGCACCTGTTTATGGGATCTCGGTGAATTGTTAAAATTAGCTCTGTTTATGGGATCTCGGTGAATTGTCATACACTTCTCGTATTTTGGTGAGTATTAGTGTTAAAATTAGCTCACTTCTCGTATTTTGGTGAGTATTAGTAATTGTACATACACCGAGATCCCATAAACAGAGCTAATTTTAACACTAATACTCACCAAAATAGGAGAAGTGTATGTACAATTCACCGATATCCCATAAACAGAGCTAATTTTAACACTAATACTCACCAAAATAGGAGAAGTGTATGTACAATTCACCAAGATCCCATAAACTGAGCTAATTTTAACACTAATACTCACCAAAATACAAGAAGTGTATGACAATTCACCGAGATCCCATAAACAGAGCTAATTTTAACACTAATACTCACCAAAATAGGAGAAGTGTATGTACAATTCACCGAGATCCCATAAACAGAGCTAATTTTAACACTAATACTCACCAAAATAGGAGAAGTGTATGTACAATTCACTGAGATCCCATAAACAGAGCTAATTTTAACACTAATACTCAACAAAATACGAGAAGTGTATGTACAATTCACCGAG